AACATTTCGTGGTTGTGGGGGTAAATTACCCTCGAAGTGGCGAAAGAGTACGCCGAACTGGGCTGGTACTGCACGGGGATCCAGCACCAGATCCGTTGTGTTTACTGCTGTGAGATTGAGGGACATGTCTAACGGGCATCTATCGAACACCGTGCAAGAATCCATGCTTTGGCAAAGCAGTTAAAGATAACTTCCCACAGATGTGGGTGGAATGCAACGGGCTGCGGATGGATTACGATAAGGACAACATTAAGTACAACCGCTCACCACCAAACAATCCCGACTGCGCAAAGTATAACACCATGTATGCGCGGGCGTTTTCCTTTGACGACAGACCGTGGCCCGAAGAAAAAACACTTGGTGTACAAGCTGGCCGAAGCTGGATTCTACAACTGCGGTGAGCTTTACAACAAAACATTCTTTTGGCTATCAAGTTGACAGAAAAACAACAACTCACGATTGCTGGTCGAACAGTTAAACCAAGAAGAAGGGGTGGGGCCCCGTTGCTCGCCGACACATTTGGCTAATGTGTCGGACGTAACAACGTCGACCGGAGCGCTTCGCGCTTCCGGTCGCCCGTTGTTTACAGGACAATGGGTTTTTTATTATTACGCAGGTCTTACTGTGCCGGGAGTTTCGGTATGCCCGGATGCTGTACGCTGTTTTTACTGCTATGTCTTCATTTCTGGATTGCCGCTGGATCTGGAACCATGGATTGAACATGCCCGCCAATCACCAGCCTGTGCATATCTGATGAATGTAAAGGCAAACGGTTCATCAACGATGTTATACGAGCTTGCAAGTCCCCTGTTACCGACATTGGAATACAAGGTGGGTTTCATCTGTTTGTTACTTTTATTTTTAATAATAATAATAATATGTAGGTATGACAGTTTTGGAAAACAAAGCACGGCTCGTTGGCTTCAGTCAAGACCAAATTGATGCCGCTAAGGCCAAGAAGAAGGGCCGTTTCTATTTTTGGAGGAATTGGAAGAAGCGGTGGAGTTCCACAACGCCGATTTTGAGCAAAAGCATTTTTTGCACTATGCCACCGAAGTACTGTCGGAGACGATGCCCGCACCGTTGAGCAGTTGAAATGTAAAATCTGTCTGTCGCGGTATGCCAACACGCTGATCAGTCCGTGTAAGCATTTGGTCATGTGCGGACAGTGCGCCAAAGCGACCCTAGACCGAGGAAGCCTCTGCCCGTACTGCCGTCAGCCTGTTGAAGCCGTCACGTCACTTTATTTTACTTGATACATTTTGCTGTTCTGAAAATTGTGTGACAAAATGTTGCACTGCAAAATGTAGCAGTTGCATTCTGCTGATACTATATAACTGTAATAGTTTTATTCTGCTTTCCTTTTTTCTCTACTTGCTTTCATTCGTTGTTGATTCTTTAAACGTAATGGATAATGGATGATCTTAATGCGTTTGATGGCGAAGCTCTTTGGGATAAAGTTTTAAGTGACCTGGAAATTCAGCTGCAGGACTATAATGTTCTTACGACTCCGACAACAAGTACTTTGGGTATAATTAAACGCAAAATTTTTGTACAGTTGTTGAAATATAAATTTGTTGTAGTTACGCAACAACAACAACAACAGCAACAACAGCAACAGCCAGAACTACACCTTCAATCAAGTCCGTGGTCTCCACCACCCATTCAGCCGATTTTAAAGGTTAAAAGTTTTTATCATCTCGTTCACTTAATTTATAGCTGAGAAACTCTTTAATTTTATAGATGAAGCAACTGGTGCGGAAATCTGCCACCACGGTATCTACACAATTTTTATTTCTGTGCCAGCAGCAGCAACAACATACGCCTCAAGTTTCATTTTCATGTTGCAGGGTGACCAGATATTCCGTTTAACACCATTATATGGCCGCCTGGAAGACTTAAAAGCGAGTCTTATGCTTTGTTTGTTATTGCAACTTATTTTCCAAAGGTATATATATATTGCAGGCATTGATCCAGTGCAAGGATATATTGCCCGCTACGAATACTACAAGCAGCGCCATCTCTACATTATTCTGTCGCCACATAACACTCTGCAGCAACCTACAGCTCACCTGGTGATCAACAACTTCCCGATCCATTACCCATCACAGATCAGTCGCTGTCGGTTTCAACAGCACCGCTTTCCGTTCCGTTCTCTGTTGTCACTACATCTCCGACTGCTGAAGTTGCTGGACCCAGTACCTGCACTTCCATCATCGTCAAAAGTAAGTTTCTTATCCTGATCCTTAACTCTTTTTTGATTATTTACATTATTTATTTTGTAGATACTGTTACTGCAGCGCCAGCGGATTCTGGGGACCAGCATCTCGTGCCACCTGCCAAGCGTATCAGATTAGCAAACGCTGAATCCGTGGACTGGCTCTACCAGACCTTTACTGATAAACGGGACGACCGGACCTTCCGAAGTTATTCACAGTACCGCGATGCGTATAGCATCTTTGTCAGAAAAGGATCCAATAATCCTTTCATGGCTTTTACCGGTTGCATAAAAATCCAACGTACAGTTCGTTATTGCCCGCCATAAAAAATACGCGGTGCAATGAACTGGTTGTCGGAATGGATATTCTGGAAAAGATTGTAGAATGGACCAATACGCCTGCTTTTGCAAAGTACCGCCAGAAAACAGTCTCCGCCTCCACCGCCAATGCGCATCCGAAACCCTATCTTGGTGCATTATCGACACCACGTCCAATACCCAAGCAGCTTTTGTTCATGAAAACCGTACTACGACTGCCTCTGATGACTCAGCCATGTCTGTACGTATCAGATCTGGCGATACCATAAAAAATTGTGTTGATATAAAGTCAGATGAGTTAGAATTTGTGAAGCAGTGTCAGGAACACTTTTCTGTCATTAAGAACCAGTTGCTGTGACCTTTCTGCTTGCAAAATGCCTCGCATAGCTGCTGACGCTGGATTCAGTTGATTCTAATAATGATAACGATACTAATGCTGTTGATGATGACGATGTTACCGAAGACCCGCTTCATATAAAGAACTTTTCGTGTTGAAACCGATAAACGATTTTACAATCGCCGTTATCAGATGACGTGTAAAAGATTTGCGTGCAAAGTTCATCGCCTCAGTCATATTCCTTTTGCTGAGATTCCCGATGTCATAACAGCCATTTTGAACGAAATTTTAAATGAAATCCTTACTGACATCCCAGATCACGAGCGGGTAAGAATCAAGTTGCATAGCCGTCACCTCTCGTACCCTATTCACACCTTTCATTCGTCGTGATCAGCTAACCGTTGCGCGATTGATGAAAGAAGTTTCCCGCGTACTCAATTCCAATCAAGAATTTGTACTGGATGATTCTTTTGAGCTGGAAATCCACCATTCCAACCTTCCCGCTGGATCCTGTCGATACGATGTTCCTTTATTATTGCGCAAAAAGCTGGAGACCATGAGGAGCGTAATACCTGTTCGTAATTCAGATAACCTCTGTTTGGCTCGTGCGCTTGTTATAGCTAAGGCCCTCGCAGATGACAATATACCGCTGTACGAACGCTTGTATCACACTAAAAACTCTGTACGGCTTCCGACAGAACGCTGCAGACAAAATGGCTAAAGAACTCATTGCTAACGCAGGACTGGATCTTCGACAATATACTTTGGAAGACGTTCAACAGTTTCAACTGGCCTTACCGGACTACCAAATCCTGATAACGAGTGTCGACCACCTCAATACGATCGTCTATGCCGGCGAATATGCCGAAAAAAGATTCGTTTGCTACATCATAGTAACCATTTTGATGTCTTGAAAAGCCTGCCGGCTTGGTTCAAAACATCGTACTGGTGCGACCGTTGCAATCGCGGATACGATCATAAAAATCGCCATCGATGCCAATACCGTTGCAAACAATGCCTGCGATTTGAATGTAATCCTGAGAAGAAGAATATACTGTTCGGACTGCTGCCGAACATTTTACGGTGAGGAGTGTTTCAATCATCATCGCGCTGCTGGCTCGGGAGAAAACGGGATTACGGTATGTCAAACGTTATTTGTCTGTCCATCTTGCCAATCATTTGTCTCCAGAGTTTTTCGTACCACGGACCACGTGTGCGGTGAGATTTTTTGCTCGGTGTGCAAAGAACACGTATCAAATGACCACGTCTGCTACATTGAGCCCGAAGTCCTGACGGACCGAGATCTCGAAAAGCACGAACAGGCCCAGTTTCTCTATTTCGATTTTGAGACATACCCGTGTCCGGAAACGGGCAATTTTATTCCGAACCTGGCCGTTCTTCAAAACGACAACGGCCAGGAATGGATTTTCCTGCTGACTCGTGCGATATTGGCCGGGATATAACAACAGAATTTTGCAGTTTTTATTTTCCGGATTATTTAAAACTTCTACGTCTTGGCCCATAATCTTCGAGCGTTCGACGGTTTTTTTGTTCTGAAATGGTTACTAAGAAATGGGATAGTTCCAAAGCTGATAATGAACGGCTCAAAAATTATGCAACTAGATGTTCCTGAATTTGGCATAAAATTTCGTGATACTTTGAATTACAATCCCCAATCGTTAGACGCTTGGGCTCAAGCGTTCGGAGCGACAGAGCAAAAAGGTAAATTCCCTCATCCCGTCAATCGCCCAGAAAATTTTGGCAAAATTATCCCTATCCTAAGAGGGAGGAATTCAATTACAGCTTGATGAATAACAAAGAAAGAAAAGACTTTATCAAAGGATTTTATCGAAAGATCGCAGAAAAAGAAAGGAAAGTACAATGTCAACGAGGAGCTCGTCAAATACTGCAAGATGTTAGCACCTTACGCGTTTGCTCTCAAGAATTCCGAAAGTTGTTCATGGGTATTTCAGGTGGGCTTTGCCCATTTACTTCAGCGCTAACAATTGCGGGTATATGCCATTTTTTCTGGCGCACGGATACTGGAAAAAACCTTATTGCAATTGTGAAAACCCTAGTCAGCGCACGCAGTCAGTCAAATGTGGTAAATGGTTGTGCTACATTGAAATGACGGAAGGCAAAGCACTTGCAAGAGAACAGAAGATTGGAAAATATTACGTGGACGGTTATGACGAAGAAGCGGAAATTATTTACGAATTCTATGGCGACTACTGGCACGGCAATCCCGCAACCACAAGACGCACATTTGTAAATCCTCATCTCAAGCAAACGATGGAGAATTTGCATGCGGCAACCGTCCAGCGAGAAATCGCCCTTGAGCAAATGGGATACTCTGTTATTAAAATTTGGGAAAGCGAGTACGACCAGAAATTGGCAGAGGATGAGGATTTTCGTGAAACACTAAAAGATATTCATGTTCACGCACCTCTTCAACCCCGCGATGCTCTATATGGAGGCCGGACCAACGGGACACGGTTGCATTATAAATGCGAGCCGGAGAACAAATACGGTACAATTAGTTAAGAAAGGATTATAATCTTGATTTTATTGATAGGTGTTTTTAGGTTTGCCGATGTCATTTCGAATATCCCTTTGTAAATTCATGGAAGAGATATCCAGTTGGCCCACACGTGCGAATTACTGCGGACTTTGATGCAAATTTGGAAAATTACTTCGGACTATTTTACCTGACGATTCTACCGCCCAAATGTCTATGGTTACCAGTTCTGCCCTATCGTACTGAAAAATTAACTTTCCGCTATGCCGGCTATGTGCTGAGACGCAGCAAAATTTAGCTGTCATCACACAGACGCCGAAAGATCACTTACGGGCGTCTGGTGCTCTGTGGAAATCATTAAGGCACTATCCCTGGGATATACGGTGATAAAGTCTACGAAATTTGGCATTTTCCGAGTTCTCGCGAAGGCTTATTTAAAGAGTACATCCAGCATTTCTTGAAATTAAAACGGAGGCCAGCGGCTGGCCCTCTAATGTTAAAACCGAAGAGAGAAAGCTGTATATGGAAGAATTTTACTTCGAGAAGGTGTATCTATTGACGCCGAGAAAGTGGAAAAAACTTGGGGTTTCGCGCCCTTGCAAAGTTATTTTAAACAAGTAAGTCTTCAATTTCCTTAGGATACATTAGTTGAAATTGCTTAATGTTTCTATTCTCTTTATAGTTTTTGGGGGTCGACTCGGGATGCGCGAGGACAGATTGTCTACACAGTTTATTTCCGAGCCCAAAGATTTTTATGAACTTTTATTAAATGATGCGTTGGAAATTCACAATATCGAATTCTTCAGTGACACCGTAATTCAAGTTGCTTACAAGTCCAAGGAAGACTTTATTCCAGTTAACCCAAAGACTAATGTTATCCTTGCGGCGTAAGTGCAAATTAATATAATAAATACGTTTTTCTCAAAATGTTTATTGGTTGGATGAATTAGGTTCACGACTGCCCATGCCCGCCTTCACTTATACAATTATATGGCCCAAGTTGGACGTAACCTGATATATTTTGATACTGATTCCTTAATGTGGATTCATCGGCAAGGAGATCCGGAAGTTCCATTGGGAAACTACATGGGGGACTTGACAAACGAATTAAATGATGGTGAATTCATCACAGAGGTCACCATCTGTGCTCCTAAATCTTATGCTTATGTGACGAACAAAGGAAAGCATGTCTGCAAAGTTAAAGGTTTTACACTCAATCGAACTGAAGATAATGAATCAAATGTGAATGCACTAAACATATGCACACCGCAAAAACTCAAGGATGCGTTGGTCTTCTAATGCGAATAAATCAGCAGTGGATAATGCCAGACAAGGCGCACGAACAGACTGCTACTTATATAATTCTGCTGGCGGTTATGCTTCCGTAATTGTACCGCATGCAGAGTCGTACATATAAAACTGTTGCGCATATCGACGTAAAAACGACCTACGAGTAGCGATGTACCGACAAAAGTCGTATATTTGTGCTAAACACATTAATCTTGACGAAACGTTTAGAGGAAGATAATGAATCAAATGTGAATTCACTAAATATATGCACACCGCAAAAACTCAAGGATGCGTTGGTCCTTGAGTTTCTGTACCGTTACCGTATTGCTGCAACAGAGAGATCATCTATTAAATCTTGCCTTTTTTCAAGCGCTGTAGCGGCCAGACGGTGCGATCCTGTCCCAGGAGTACTGAGTAATGCGAATGAGTATAAGGATAGCGGTAGAAAAGGCAGCTATACTCTAACATTTTCGCAGTCGAAGTTTTGTGTTAATGGTAGTACTAGTTGCATTTATGATAAAGCTTCTCTTGGCAACTTGAGCGTAAGTTCTTACTGTAAATTGTTTCGATTACCAAGACTCTTTCATTTAACGTAGGAAAGTCCAGATTATCTTGAATTTCTCAGTGTGTACTGCCCATGACAAGCGGACGCAGCAAATCTCATAAAATATCCCTAGTTAGTTTGATTCGTATCAGCATTTCTACTGGCTCCTGGGAATTACGCAATCGATCTTGTCCCCCCAAGAAACTGCATACATTTATCGTTTCCTGGTCCGTTCACCACGCCCGAATCCAGTTGGCCGATTAGTCCTAGCGGTTAGTTCTGCCATTAACATCGTAAACGCCTCGGTGCCGAAAATATCTTCCCGTACCTGTCCAGACCATTCCGTTCTACGGAAGTTGTTCAGAAAAAGCCCGAGCCCGAGCTCGCCACTACTTGACGGCTCAGTCTCCGACGGCAAGGGAAGGCCTGAGGCTGTACTCGGCCACTTCCGCCCTTGTGCGATAATGTCATCCACAATCAATGTCCTTGTGCCAGCCACCCTCGAGGATGTACGCATGGCACGACACGAAGGGATTATAGCGAATGTTCAGCAAATGCATCGCATCCAGTGGCGTAACGAGCCTAATAATTTGGGGGCCACGGCCCACCCCAAACGAAAAGTTATAGCTTAGAGTCTATGGGAACGGCCTACCCCAAAGCCAGTACTTGTGGCCCACCCCAAACCTTTGAGCTCGTTACGCCGCTGATCGCATCTACCTGCTCGTGAGCAGCATCACCGGCCTGGTCTTAGTGTTCCTTTCTTGTTGGAAGATAACCGTGGACGGAGTTCATTGCCGGGGTAGTAATATTCGCGGTATTCTGCATGCTCTACAATACTAATTCTTTTTATAAATAGCTGTGCCACTATGGATTCCGCATTCGGCAGCTCTAAAACTGATGTTTTGGTGTCTGCTGAAAGTGGAAACCGTGTGATTCAGAACGTTAAAACTGCTCAAGTAAACACGATGGTGTTTTACATTTCCGAGTATGCAACTGGCAAATACACCAGATGTTATCAATAATAGCCGTGCACTTACCCGCATTACGATATAATAGAACACTAGGATTTTTTTTAATTTGGGGTCACTTTGCACTACCGGTATGCTCAATTCTTTTGCCACCTGCCAATAGCCGAATGTAAGAAGCACGCAAAGGTTGGACGGTAGCCGATTGTGCAGCCACATTATAGATAGAATATACGGCACTCGTTCGCTCACTCGCTCAGTACGGCTCACTGACATTTCATTAACTAACATTTCCGGGATCGACCCGATGTCGACCGCAAATACGCCGACTGTCACAGAGGCGACAGCTAAAACCGCAGACGTCGATTTCCGTCGACGAGATGGTGGGTCACCGCTCATGATTATCCGAGTACAGCACTCACAATACTGCAGCACACTCAGCCACACTGCGATCCACGAATGATAAGATAATACGAACCTTGGTCCGCGGTCGCCTTACCAACTTCTTTTGTTATGTACATTGCGTTGCATAGCAGAGACCAGAAAATGCGATACAAACCGATTTAATCAAATAATTACTTAGCTCTATGTAATATTAAGCACTGGCTGAGCACCGCGCTATTATCATCAAGTGGTTTTGGTGCTGCCACGTCACGTATGATCTAGGAAAGTTTTTATCTAATTGTAAGGAATTTCGAATCTGTAGCTATCAGCCTATCATCACACAGCTTGTTCAAGATATGTAGAGGGTTGGCTTATCACGCCAAGTCATAACATGCCCTTCAAGAACTGAACCCGGCTACATGTAGCATGCTCCAGAATTTTACTTCTACTATATGTAACAACCATGGACAAAATGCTGTATCGCATCTGCACTTCTACTGTACGTTCTTGAAATCAGTGATTAGATAAAAGAGCAAACTCAAAGTGATGTCACAAAGCCACCGCATGCCGGTTATCAGCAGCGATTTTTAGTCAATCGGCAACTGTAAGGATGTGACATGTTCATGTTCATAAATACAGTACCAAGAAAGCCAAATTATTAGTGCATAACATTTGTACCAGAAATATTTTTGATTTGTTTTCATTTTCGCGTCAGCATAATTTTTTGCTGCATAATTTAATATAAAATAATATTCATACATAATATAATAATATTTTGCATAATATTTTGCTGCACATAATAACATATATCCAAAGCGCTGTCTCACAGAGAAAACGCTACGTGACCAAAAAACCTTCTGCCTCGCTGGACCATAATGTACCTTGCGTTAGCGGTAACTCTGGTGCTGGATGTAATATTTGCGAATCCCAGGTTTTGCTTTAGCGTCATTGCCCCTAAGAGAATACCCGGTTAGTCATCAGTTTCGCCAAAAAGAATGTTCGAAAGTAATGATAATGAAATATGCTTACGAAGTGCTCGTATAATTGTAATGGTAACTTATCAGAAACCTGTGGTGGAGAAATTCATCTGGCGCCTGATTCACAATGGTTACTGCTAACACCGCGATATCTGGCATATTTCGATCCCATTGTACGCTGTGAGTGGAGATTAAACGCTCCGGATGGATATGAATTTCTGGCAAGTGATGATCATATTAATAAATAATAATCACCGGTTTCTTGTAGGTACGATTTCTGTTCTGTTATACCGTACTACGACTTCGCTCGTAGATTGGTTAAACCTACTACTGTTAGTGTACGGGTTCAGTACATTGATCACCAGCCTCTCATGCGGTGTATTACATGTTCTGTTATCCGATACAGTGTGTTGCAAGTTTCCAACTTACACCTTTAATTTTCATAATGCATTTTAAGTGATAATGAAAAAACTGAAAGTCCGACGTAAGGTAAACATAAGCGATATTCCGAGGTTTCTGTGAAGTTTGTTCGACTGGTGATCATGTTGGTTATTACTTGTCATACAAGTAATGGTAATAAGAATGGTGATTATCATAGCATATGCAGTACTGTCTTGGCAAAGAGAAAAAAGGTGAGTACGTGGAAGGAGAAAAACTTACTTTTAAAATCTCAGTGGTATTGAAAAATCATAATACGTGGGTGATCAAAGTACTGTCACGGTGTATTCTGTAACCGCCCATGATGACGATTAGCTATGGAAGTGCCCTTTGTTAATGGATTTTGGTCTGGATTATCGGAGTGTCTCTGATCTTGATTTATCCATTTTATGTATTTTTCTCCCATTTATTTCCTTTATGAATAAACGCTATTATTTAGGGACACCCCATGTTTCCCCATATTGTAGATTATAGGATATAGGTAGCACTACCCATGACAAATGGCGCTCCTGGTTAGAACAATGTACCAACCTGGCGGTGGCTGCGGTTCTGCCCCAGCCGAATTTGGGTCGCCGTTGCCGACAGGGTTTCCGTCGGTTCCTGACGTAAAGCAGTGGCATTCGGCCGCATATGCTGGTTATTCTGCTTGTGGATGGACACAGGAAGCAACCAACCATTATCCCGATGCCGTTTCCCTGGAGTCAATGGCCTCTGTGGTCCCCAAACAGGGCTGTGCGAATCGGCCCATTCCACACCATATCCCAGACTATTCTAAGGGTTTTGCCAACCCTTCCCGTATGAACTCCACTCAACTACGCTTCAGCCAGAGAAAGCCAGTGGAATCGTTACGTGCCCGACAGGCAGGTGAGCCATTATGCTACTCACAGCGCTGACCATGCTGCTATTTCCTTTTATGAATAAACGCTATTATTTAGGACACCCCATGTTTCCCATATTGTAGATTATAGGATATAGGTAGCACTACCCATGACAGTACTGACCTGTTCAGTAAGTTTGACCAATTTACGAGCGAAGTCGTAGTAGTAGTAATGCTTATACTCGTAATTGTCCTTATTCGAAATCAGTTTAGAACGGGAGCAGCCGCCTTTTATGTTCAGGAGCAAATGAAAACGGTCGTGTACGGCTATAACGCATCGGTTGATTACCTATATTTGTCAACAGGTATGAAATGAAAGTTGAAAGAACGGAATTTTGTATGTTCAGTGCAGTGATGCCTACCTAGTGGCCCACTTTACCGAAAGCTGGCGGCTTTGCTTCCTTATGGTTAGACAGCTTTATTTATTTAGACCGTCCTGTACCCGTTTCTTTACAAGCGAAGAGATTATCTCCAGGAACGCAGTTTACGGGCATTAAAGGTCCAAATGGAGTGCTTTTTCCGCGCACAAATAAACTTGTAAGTAAAAACGGTTTAGTTTGGTTTGATTTATAATTGAACCACCGTTAACGCAGACACGTTCAATCGAACTATCAAAAAAACACTTAATTTAAATACTTTCACTTCACTCTGGACGACCCCTGGACCTCAAGTGTACCCCTTACGGTATTCTTCCGTGATACGGCGTAATAAACGGACCCTTGAAATTGATGCTGTGGACCAGGTAAAGCGCTTTAAGGTTACCTATGATAAACGAAGGATACTAGACTTGACGACGCTCCCATTCGGGTACGACGAAAAATAAGAATGTTCCTGATTGATTATTATTAAGCAATTTGCTGCTGCTGTTGTTGTTGCTGTATCATCGCTATTGCGATAGGCAGAATAATATCGCCTACTAAAATTATTATTACCAGAATAATTATACAAGCCGCAGCAAGCGCTGTGAGAGCTGGCTTGTGTTTTCTCTACTGCTCCATTTTGCAAATAACTCTGGCACTACATCACTGGTGATTCGGCTAATTGACTTAAATAGTATCGATGTCTTTGAACTATAAATAATTTTGATTTTACTGTATTTTTTATTTTGCTTACACTTCAAAATAAAAATCAAGGTAAAAAAGATACAAGACTTGGTTGATTTGGTTGTACAGCAGATTGAATATTATTCAGTAGCAGCATTATACTTGATAAATTTTGAAAACCGGAATCGATTATCGAGAAAAGTATAAATTATGCTTTAAAAAACCTTTTGCTTCACTGAATATTTTTACGAAATCAGCTTACTCTGTTGGTTCCATTTTCCGCTTTGACCTTTGGGTTCTGCTCAGCCATATGGACTTACGTTGTGATGATGCTAGCACAGTCGTGATGTCAGCCTGCAAATGCTTACACTTATAATTACAGCAGATATAACTGATCAATTGCTATAATACATTAAAATTATATTAAATTATTCAGATATTTTACAAACGATTATTTAAGGTGAAATTTACTTTGGCGCTTGAAATGGTCGTAGTCCGTTGTAATTGTGGTAAATTATCTGCAATTAAGACATTTTAATGATATTAAAAATAAATTGCGGTAAAAAATGGTATAGCAATAATTAGGATGTAACAATATTAATATTATGCTAGGAACACAGAATAATTTGGTTCCGAATAGTAAACTGTACCGTCGTAGACGTTCACGCAATGCTGTGTGTGGTTATATGGTGTTCCTAATAGTATCGCTATCCCGCAGGTAATAACCTGTAAATAATTAATTTCAGTCATTAATTGCATTCGGACTCATAAAGTAGCTATAATATAATATTCAATAATAATTAATAAGTCTTACAGTATGAAACAGAGAGTGAAAAGATTAAAAGTTGATTTTAGGCAGAAAGAAAAATTTCGTCTAGATCAGTGTTGAAAATTTTCCGAAAGAGCCAGGGCAAACTTTTTAAGTCCCGAAACTGTTTACTGGATTACAAAAATCCTAATTCTGCTCTGAGTACAACAAAACAATTAGTATTCAGTGTAAGCCTTCGGAGTATTAGGTCAGAAAAGTTAATTAGTAAATAGTAATTAGACAAGGAACTTACGGTAGAGTTCGTGCGGAAAAAATGTGCGTAGTGCCGCCAGGAACTTTTTCTGGCCACAGATGTACACGCACACACGCTCAACAGACGCGCCAAACAAGGAAATGATATCACAATAGCACGGCCAGCCAAATCACAAACATCACCATTACACTTCATTTACAAATACATACAACTCATATTTATAGGTACCTGCTAAATTTTCTAACGTTTAAGCGTAAAATTAGAGATATTGTATTTTAGGGAGAATCGCAATCGAAAACGTATGCATTCCAATGCGATTGTTCAATAGAAAGTGATGGAACATCACGTTCCATCGTGTTGACAGTTAAAGATTTTTCTAGCTCATAAGTCTGTGCTAGTGAGAATGAATTCAGTCAGTCATCTCCAGTCTGCAACTTCAAGATTTCCAACAACATGGCCAGCCAGCAAAGCAACGAGATTTCATCCACCATTCCGGAGGACAGCGACCTTCCAGAAGAAATCCGCAGATTGAATCTGGATGCGGACACCATCGCGTTTTTTGCGTCGCAGCGCTCAGCAGGCAAATTGTAAGTGCTGTTATTAATTTCTATAGCTTTTAGGTAATTTAATCATTTTTTAGTGCCATTGGCATTTTTTGCCTCTAAAATTACGCCCCAGATGCATGAAGAAATGAAGCAGGCGGCCAAATGGAAGGCCGACTTGGACGACGATCTTTACCATAAAAAACAATTTTGACAATATCCAGTGTTTTTTGCCTAGCCAAATTAAACTAGGTAAATGAAATAGGATGGCAAAGGAATTTCTAGTAATTTGTTACTTGTAAACTGTGTACTTTGTGATTTTGTGGCAATTCCTTTAATGACGGTAAATAACTAAATAAAATTCTCAGACGATAATCGTACGCAGTGTGGTTTGCAGCGCATATAGGTAACGGTACAAACAGGGGCGCTATAGCTAGATACCACCACAGGTGCTGTGAGGGCAGAGGTGAGGGGGGCGGTTGAGTACAAGAGAATAGCAGAAAAGTGAGCTGCGGAGGACGTGGGGATAGGTAACGGTACGAGCAGGGGCAGCCTGCAGAGAGGGAGGAGTGAGGGGGACCGAGAGAATGGCAGGAAGCTGGGCTGCGGAGGGCGCGGGATGTGACGGACGCAGAGCTGGAGCGGCGGGGCTGTGACAGACGCGGGCCTGTAATGGACGCGGTGCTGTGGAATTTATGGGCCACAACAGCGGACGATGGGGAATTACGATAGGAGCAGAGACGACGGGGCAACGAAGAGGATTTTGGGATAGGCCACGCTGAAAGCGACGGTAGACGGGGAGAAAACGGGAGACGTTGGACTGGCAGACTCACAGGATGATGAAGAGTACGAGAATATTTCGACGGACCGATTTTGCCCGTTATTATGCAAAAAATTTTAGGTAAGACTAATGTGCGCGTCAAAGAAGTCATTTTAGCTTTTATTGGAACTTTATTCAATTTTTCCGTGAATTTTTTGACATATAATTGTGTCACATATGCTATCAAACGCCAATAAATAGGTAAAACTACATAGTTGTGTAATAAAAATAATTACTACAGTACCACCACTTGTCGTCCAATAATTTTATTCAGTTTTCTCTGCCTGAATGAAGACCGCGATCGACCGTTTCTCACGCGAAGACTAGGACCGCTTCGTCTTCCTCTTGTTAACGCGGGCCGGCGGTCTGGGCATCAATCTAAAGAACGGGTAACACGGCCACCATCTTCGACTCCGACAGGAATCCCAGGACGATCTGCAGGTACACAGCTGTAATCCTTTGGTACTCTTGTCAGTGTATATAATTTGAAATTAATAATATTTTGTATGTATTTTGTATGTAATATTTTGTCTGTGATATTTTGTATGTTAATTTATGATAATCTTTTCATGTTTTTATATTTTTTTATTGGAAACGCCTTTTATTTGTTGTTTTACTAATTTTCGTTACGAAATTATCTCTGGTAATGTTGTACATTTCGATTATATGCAATATGTACTATTCTATTCATTTAGCTTTTAACCTGTAAATTCTGATTCGTTGCGTTCGTTGTAGATAATTTTCTGATCCGTTTTGTTATGTGAAGTATTGCTGTAATGTTGACTTCGCTGTTTTATGTGAAGGAATTTCGTGGGATTGGTAGCTGTTAATTTACTGATATTGTGGTGCGGTTTTCCACGTAAATCCTATTTATAAGTGCACTAGGGTTCGCGTTGTTTATGATTTGTTCACGATTTTTGTTTATTTAGTGCTCTAACTTACCCGGAAACAGATCGCTTGGGAAAGCGATACTGACTCTGACGGGGCTTAGAGGCCATATTCCGTGATTCTCAGCAGTCGCTATGTTTCCTATCACGGTCAAATTTTTGTGTTGGTATTTTAGCCTTTAAGCCTTACTTTGATCTGGGCACCAATGTTTGATCTCGTTTATACTAATGTTGGACGAAAAACACATACAGCTGTTTCCGGTGTTGCGCTTTTTGAGAATTCGATGATAGGGATGTCAGTGTGAGTGAATTACTTGGCTTTTTTTATTTTAAATATTTTATTATTAAAAGTTGTGAATAGCAACGGAGAATTTTGGCACTTTGTGCGATTGAGTAGAACAGAGTTTTAGTATCTGGAGTTTTTTACCAGGAAAATTTCTGTCCGTTTCATTGACATATACCCTGAATTATTTTAATTTTATTTAATTAAATTAGCTTTTTTTTGTATTAATTTTATTAATGTTTTTAATATTATTATGATGTCATAAACTGCAGTCCGGAAGTCCAGTAAGGAACTGGAATTCAAAATCCCTTTGCGGGACGCCGTTTACTACTTGTATCAGGCAGAAGACTAGCTGAGTCATTTATTTTTCTCAGATTCTCTTTACTGATTCGACAATGATCATGTGGACTTGGAGCCTGTTATTTGCGGCACACGCCGTTTCTTTTTAATACCAGTTTACATACAGTATACGAAGCTCGTGATGCTTGGTCCTGTGTTTGTGCTATCAGTGCGTGTTGCGAGTGTACAGATACTTGTTTCAATTTAGATCAATTTTTAATGTTTTCTGCATTTGTTGCCAGAATGCGACAACTGCCATCGCAGTAACATTTCTGTACTTGATTCTGTTGGTTGATTTGCCAGGAGTATACCAGCAGACAACCGATGCAGAATACACCAGGTATGTTAAACATACCCTGATTAAAATTAATCAGTTCCGGATATCAGTGCGGTTTTGTCCCATTGTTGACTAATAAAACTTCTAGGCTAACCAGATAATAAACCAAATTCAATGGTAAACCAGACATTTTGGCGGACCGAACGCTATACGAACCAGACGAAAAAATTGTTTTTTACTCGTCGATTTTGCACTCGTATACAGTAAGCGTAGAATCCCTTGATTGACAATTGCGCAATAATGTTCTGAACTTTCTTATGCTGGACGATTTTACAGCGAGCCGGAGCTGGAAAGGCCTGAAACGGCCAGTTCACGTCCGCTCCACCGTCATCCTACTCTTCTGGGCGCCGGCTACGATGCAGTATGCCAATCCCCGTTCGCTGACTTTGACTTCCGGTATCACCCGAAACAGCATCACATCGACGAAGCTCCTCCAGTTTAAATATGCCAATGATACCCATTGTCCACTATATGCCAAATGCGATATACCTCCGAACACTAGCCAGAAATATAAGGTTGCCGTGCGCACCTTCGCTGATTATCAGAATCACATCAAAACCACACTGAAGATAAGAACCACGGTAAAACATCTAAGACGTATTTCGTAGTGATTGATGTTCGGTCAATATATTTATTTTTACGTAGCACTAGCAGGCGGATTTTGCCTTGTAGAAAACAATGACCAACAGCATCGGAATTTTGGCTGAAGAACTGGAAGAAGCGCGCGCTCATCTCAACGACGGTTTATTCTTCGTTGACTACATCGGACAAGTGGTTTTCGAAGAAGACCGGCTGCAGCATAACTGGTTCGAGCATGTTTCTCTTCAAGACGATTTCGCTGAAAGCGTGTGCCGGCTTCCCGAGCAGTACGATGGTGACGAATACGTGGCCTTTCTCAAACGCTTCGGCACGCACATGATCGAGACATTGCTACTGGTCAAGCAATCGCGGACCCGAGTGTTCGTGGATCCGAAAGCGATATTCCAGCATCTGGTACGCAGCGGCACAACCTTCACTGGTGACAGCGTCCACTGGGCGGATGGAATTCAGCTGCGGTATATTACCGACAGCATGCTCGTACGAATTGCCGACGATTTAATGAAGGGCCCGCGTTCGGACAGCGTTGTCAACGAGACTGCCGCGCACAACATTACGTTGCCGGTTCATCTGCTGGAAATTTCGCAGCTCCTTGACAAGGTCCATCTAAACCGGTCCCTTAACGAGATCTGCAGGTAACGTTATCAGCATTTGTACAACAATTATACGGTAAATAGAGCCATATAGAGGACAGGACGAAAAAGGTAAGTAATTGTTTTGTTTGAACAAATACTGCGAGTAAAGCAGTACCGGCGATTTCTGCGCATTCGATATGTGGATGTCGACATTATTTAGTTATTTCATTGTCGCGTTTTCGGACTGCAAACCGAACTGGCCGCTTTCACCTGTGGGTCCTGCGCTGTATTTACAGACAACTGTTCGATGGAATGTCCGAAGCCAACCAACCGGTCTGGTTGAAAACCGTTGCCGACAACCTGTACCGAGCAATGGATGCCTACAGCAACGAAGCCCAAACCGAACAGCCGATCGCCACACCGCAGATAACTCCCTGGCCGAAGGAGATCCGCAGTCAGATCAGGGCCATCCAAACGCGGAATTTCTTGGCGGGTCAACGGCACCCCTGTGTCAGCGATGCGTACACTAATGTCTTGGGTCACGGATACGATCTGTTACGCGCCGATCCACTAGGGACGGAATTTCACGCCGGTATTCACAGCGGCGAACCGATTCTCCGGTTTAAGGATTGCCCTGTCACCGGGAACTGCAACGACACAGTGCTCTGTACAACGCTGCCGCCTACCGGGCATACAGGAAAAACATATCTTTCGTGCGGTGGAGGAGTATCAGGACGTAATTCTAAGCACGCTGGACATTGATGGTCTTGACGTAAGTCTTTGGCTAATGAAGCCTTGCATGTCGCAGTATTTGCTATCGATAAATTAGGACGTGATTCAATTTCTGTCGGACCGTCCGACTAACATAACAGCAGAGCGAGCTGACCCTTCGATCATGTGCAAAAGGCTGTTTTTCGGCCTTCACTTATAAGACTGATTTTACGCTCTAACTGTGACATACACAGACTTGTTACTCTTTGTGTGAAAGCGACCATATTATGACATTGTGAAGAATACAAAATCTTGTCTTAAAATTGTACGGGCCCATTAAGGAAGTGGCCCGTACATGGTACCAAATTCGTGTACATGCACCGATCCACTGTTCTAGCATGTTTTCAAATTTTAAAATGAATTTCAAAAATTTTAAAATTTTTGGACAGAACAGTGGATGGTATAAAACGATCCTCATGGTTATGTGCATTTACGTGCAAAATTTGAGGGAGATTGGTCTACAATGAGACTTTTGGTACACCTGAACGCATTTAAACTTTTTGGAATTTTCTAACAGCCATAACTCCCGAACCGGATGTTGCGCGCACTAACGGTTTTCACGCCAGTGTATACAGATCTTCTGGCTACAAAACGTCATAAACTGAAACAAAATGTGTTTGGGAGTGCGCGAAAGCGAAAGTTTTCGTGCATGTACACGGATTTGGTACCATGTACCGGCCCACTTCCCTTAAATCAGTAAGGTTCACTCGATGATAAA